ATTGTTTTTTTTTTTTTTTTTTTTTTCTGTGCCTTGTTCCATCGACGATGCAGTAAACTAGTACAAACCTTTCTTCAATGAGAAAAGAAACCACACAAAAATAGATCAGAAAGTTATTGCAAGACGACATGCAGAAAACATAGCAAGCGGTCAGAGGACGACCTTCCCATTGCCCAACTGAGACCTTCGTCCTCAACGCTGATCCAGCCTTCCCTTGGCGACGTCCTGGGCGTATCGCTGGGCCACATGTCTGCCGTAGCTTGTACGTCATTGGGGGCTTTGAAAAGCGGTTTGGCCGCCAGCAGGTGCAGTAATAACGGTACAAGGGCCAAACGAACCCTGCCACAGCTTGCATCTCCCGTTGCAACGCCCACTTGCTAAAAATATTGTCCGATATTAACAACCAGTGCAGGTCTGGTTACAGTCTGGCCTGGATCAAATTTCCATGACCGAAGCCAAATCTACCCCATACCTCGAGCATCCGGCCTTCATTGGCTATCGCCGTGCCGTTTACCCCTGCATTAACAAGACAATTATCAATTCCAACTCCAGAAAATGGCTCCGGAATGATCGTTCGACTTGACTTTGACCAGGGCGACAAGGTCACTACACCAACGATCCGCACCCCAATCCTTGTTTCTTGCTTCTGTCCTGTCATATTATTCCACAGTGCAGCACTTGTGCTCAACGCCACACATGATGTCCTTCTTGTGGCACAAAATATCATTGACATCACCGCCACACGCACGCCGCCACTTCTCATTACATCACGTCACGTCCTTGGCCGTGGCGCAGCAGCCGTTGTGACCAAGGTTTCCTCATTTAGCAACAACTCATCTTGCTTTAATTTTTTTTTTGTTTCGCCAATCGCTCACGAACATCACTAGATGGACCATGCAGTTCTTGCACCCCATCTTGACGCAATCCTCCTTTTCCTAATTCCTCTGTCTACGCGCCCAAGCGGGCCTGCACCCAACGCAGAAGCCATGCAATGCAATCCAAGAAGTGGCTGTGCCGACCCTGCAGTGTGCAACGAATGGTCGGAAGAAACCCAAATCGAGTGGTTCTTGGTAGGCTCGCATCCTCGTCACACGCACGTAACGCAACCTGCACTCGCAATCAATTCGCTACGTGAAATTTTGGGAAAGGCGTCGGGAAACGCCGAGGCGGCACTGCTGCACTCGGGTTCCGGCGCCCACAAAAAAGATGTCCTCTGCTCTATTAGCTGGATGGGCTTGGCAAGAGGGCGAAGCGTCTGCAGGCAGACCCGAGCGGTGTGTTTGTTCGTTCACGGCGCCTAGCTGCCCAATCCATCAGTCTCGAATGATGCAAGTGGACAAAAATGGCCGGACCGTTGAACCCCTGTAAAGTTTTGAAGAAATGTGGTGTATTAGAATTACAGTCGCCAGTAGCAACGACGGACAAGCTCCAATGAAGCCACCTCGAGTAATACATGCAATGAACAGCCAACGTACACAACATCCCCCCCTTCCCGTTGATCAGTCCGCCTTGACCGCGTGGCCGGCCATCCGCCGGCCGAAGAGCACCGTGCCCGCCAGCAGGCTCCCCGCCGCGGCGCCGACGTACGCGCCGACGACGATCGTCACGGGCCACCGCTGCCAGTCGCGGTCCCAGTCGAGCGGGATCGACGGCCAGCAGGGCGATGTGCGCGGCGCAGAGCGCGGTGCGCGGTGCGTGCTCGAGCAAGGGCGCGCCGAAGAGGACGAGTAGCGCGTGCAGCGCGGGGACGGCCAGCGAGGAGAGGACGAGGGCGACGATGACGCTCTGCGGAGACTTGTTAGTTGCGGGCTGCCACCGGGAGATTGCCGTCGAGATTGCGTGTGTGTTGGACGTACAGAGATCGGGTTGGAACCTCCGTCGTGCTTCTTGGGCTTCTCGCCCGGCCGCGGCTTCTTGCCCTTGCCACCGCTGCCCTGCGACGACGACGAGCCGGCGGGTGGGATGCACACGGCGGCGTAGACGGCCTGCACGGCGGCGACGACCGGCAGCGCTCGCGATAGGGCCGGCGCGGGGTCCGCGACGAGGCCGTCCATGCCCCATGCCAGCAGGCCCAGCAGCACGGCGACGCGGCCCACGGAGACGCCCCTGGACAGTGGCGTGTCGTAGATGGCCACGGGCTGTAGTATGATCTTGGGTTTGGCGTCGGCCTCGGTGGCGGCGGCGGCGGCCGTCGTGCTCGTTTTCGACGTGGACATTGCGTTTCGGCGTGTGTGTGTTTGTGGTCGCAATGTCGGAGGACGAGGAAAAAGGTCCCGAGGAAAGGAGGCCCGTCAAGGTGGAAGATTTGCGCGCCATCAAGGGAAATGGGTTGGCATCTCCATCGCGAAGTCACGTGCAGCTACATATTGGGTGACAGCTGCGAGTAGAGGATGACCGATTTGAAAGAGGTGTAGATGAAGGTGGCTAGAGAGAATTGGGCGTTACGAGTCCATTGTAATTTTCAGAGAATTTATTTTCATCAAAAAAGCGTTGACTATACCGGCTGAATGGCTCGTCATAACCCAGTAGTAGGCTATCCATGTTCAAGGAGACGTCATGGTCTGTCTGCCTTATCCTGCCTATTATCCCCCAGATTTTAATTTTCTCAAAGTCTCGTCTAAAAGAAGACTCCATTAGAAATGCCCTCCAATCATTCAACCCGTGGGTGTCAGCTGGAAATTTCGAGTCCTGAGTGGTGTTCCGAGTATCACGCCACATCCGGGCCGCCCAGCCAGCCAGCAGCCCGTTCCGCCCCGCCGGGGGGCCAGCTCCTGCCTGTCCCAACTAATGGCCTGCAAATCTGCCTGCTGTCGCCCAAAATGGTGCCATAATGCTGCTACTCGTGCTGCCCGGAGCGAACACAGGCGTTCGCCGGGTGCGTGTGTGGTGTGATTCGCGGGTGCCGGCGCCTTGCTCGTCTGCCCATTGTGCCGCCACATGGGGGGCCAACGACACCAGGAGGCGTCGTTAGGAGTTCTGGCGAGAATTCTTGTCGCGGGCAGCGCCGTGCGTGGTTCCTAGAAACAGATCATTTGTCGGGGTGCCACGGGTTGGGAGGAGTCATGGCGAGTTCGAGTTGGGCGGCGCCGAGCAACTACAAAAAGGATGTCGAGTAGCTAACTGTATTGGTTTCTCACGATTCAGAACCAAGCCAATTCATTCATACAAAAGAACAAACTCTACTCACTTCTATCATTTCATTGCACATACGAGCCTCACCACTCACTCCTATCGTCGAGCTAGCAACTAAACGACTCTACTCTTCACGACACTTGACGACTTCTTCACCAACTCTGCCACTTCTCTTCTTCTTCATCTGTCAGGATGACGCCCGTTGCCCGCATCATCGCCCGCCGCCAGTACTCCATGATGCAATCCGTGCGAGCCGCCGGCCGCGCCATGGAGTCGCACCCGTTCGAGCGGCTGCCCAGGAAGCAAAAGCCGGCGCCGGCCAACTGGGCGGGCGACGCCAAGCGCTTCGGCGTGCAAATAGCCCTGTAAGTCGAGGCTATGCTCTCTGTATCTGTGCTCGATGCTGAGTGGTGTTTAGCTATATTCCCGGCATCAGCCTGCTGCTCGGCTGGCCGCTCCTCGCCGCCAAGGTCATGGATGGCCACGTCTAAGGTCACCAGGGTTGGTGACGAGGCAGGCATACGCTCACTTATTGAGTTCTGCAGAACTCGGGAAAAAGAGACATGCTACTTTACAAAACCCCCCTTCATTCCCTTTGTTATGCATCATTACCCCCGGCGTTTGGGCGGGTAGACTACCACCAAGGAATCTCCCTTGAGCAATACAGGAACTGCATCTCCATTTTAGCTAGCTTTCAATAAATTCAATGCCAATCGGATCCAAGCACGGCAACTGTGCATTGCCAAACTAGAGGCAGACTTATGTGCTTCGGATACCATCCCGAGAATCTCTCGGTTCATTGTTCCACCGGACCTCGTCTCAACTTGGGCCAAGTACATCAAGATTACGCCTCCATGACACGACCTGTATTGGGCGACCTCGTTTCAATTGCCGGAGACAAGCCACTGACAGCTGTGCCCAAATCTGGCTCGCTAACAATGTTCCCCCGCATCACAAGAGGACTAGGGGCGACGATCAATCGACTATCGTCTCCCCCACACAACGCTAATCACTGAAGGTTGCACACCAGCCGCTGCCCTCTATTACCGTCTTCCGACGGTACGGGATAATTCCCATATGCCGCTAGAAAAAGCAATGGCTATAAAAAGTTGACGAGCCTTGTTTGTGCAACATCCCTCCCCTCTTCCCGCCTGACATCGATATCTCCGCACGCACGCCGTTAGACGCCGTGCCTATATACATACATCAATGACGGCGCCAGACGACACCACGATGAAGCGCGATGCCGCGCCCGACATCGAGCAGACCGAAGACGTCGCGCCGGCGCAGCACGGCCCGAACAAGATTCACGGCGTCGCCATGCCCCCGATCCTCGCCGGCCTGAGTGCGGAGGAGCGCAACACGCTAGAGCGCCATCTGCGGCGCAAGATTGACCTTCGATTGCTTCCCATGATCGTCCTCATGTACATTCTGAACTACATTGACAGGTGAGGACCGAGGTGCCTTGGAACCGTCTAGTCGTCTTCGGTAGCTGATCGTGTTCGGCAGGAACAACATTGCCGCTGCGAGGCTGGCAGGCCTGGAGGATGATCTGAAGCTTGATGCCAGCGGCACCCAGTTTTCGGTTCGCCAGTCGAGTTCTCGACGAGAACGAGCATTATATTAACAGTGTATCCGGTAGACTGCGGTCAGCATCCTCTTTGTCGGCTATATCCTCATGCAGGTCCCGTCAAATCTGCTGTTGAACAAGATGGGAAAGCCAGGCATCTATCTCCCCGTTTGTGTAAGATCACCCGTCCTTCCCTTGCCGTATTCGCATGATTGGAAGTGGCTGATGAATATTTGCATCGCTAGATGGCCATATGGGGCACCATATCAGCAGCCACGGCCGCGGTGCAGAGCTTCGGGGGTCTGCTCGCATGCCGCTTCTTCCTCGGCTTCGTCGAGGCCGCCTACTTTGTACGCAACCCTAACCTCTGCCCCAGTCCAGACTAACCACCTCGCTAACGCCATCCTACCCCTGCCGCAGCCCGGATGCCTGTACTACCTGAGCTGCTGGTACACGCGCAAGGAGCTCGGCGTGCGCACCACCTACCTGTACGCCGGCTCGCTCCTCTCCGGCGCCTTCTCCGGGCTCGTCTCCGCCGGCATCACCGGCAACCTGGACGGCGCGCGGGGCCTGCGCGCCTGGCGCTGGCTCTTCCTGATCGAGGGCGTCGTCACCGTCGCCGTCGCCTTCGCCGCGCTCCTCGTCCTGCCCAACTTCCCGCGGACCACGCCCTGGCTGCGCGAGGAGGAGGTGGCCGTGGCCGTCTGGCGGCTGGAGCACGACGTCGGCGAGGACGACTGGGTCAGCAGCCGGGAGCAGACCTTTCTCGCCGGCTTCAAGGCGGCGGTGAAGGACCCGAAGACGTGGGTCCTGGTGAGTCTTTCTTGTCAGGAGTGTGTTTCCCCTCGGGTTTCTTGGCTGACCGGATCTGTGTTGGTGAAAAGCTGGTCGTCCTGTTCGGCAACGTTTCCGCAGCGTCCATCACAAACTTCTTCCCGACGGTGGTGGCGACGCTCAAGTACTCCAAGGTGACGACGCTGCTGCTGACGGCGCCGCCGTACGTCCTCGGCGTGCTGACCACGCTGCTCAACGCGTGGCACGCGGACCGCACCGGCGAGCGCTTCTGGCACGTGTCGCTGCCGCTGTGCCTCGCCATGGCCACCTTTATCGTCTCCGCGGCCACGACCAACACCGCCGCGCGCTACGTCAGCATCATGCTCATGGTTCGTCCGTTGCCCTCCCCGGCCTCGACTTGACACGCTGACACGAGAGAGAGATAGATCCCCGGGCTGTACAGCGGATACACGACGGCGCTGGCCTGGATCAGCAACACGCTGCCGCGCCCGCCGGCGAAGCGCGCCGCGGCGCTGGCCTTCATCAACGCCGCGTCCAACGCGCCGGCCATCTACACGAGCTACCTGTACCCGTCGTCGGCGGCGCCGCGCTACGAGGCCGCGTTCGTCCACAACTGCCTGATGGCGGCCATGTCGGTCGTCGCGGCGGGCGTGCTGCGGACGATGCTGGCGAGGCTGAACAGGAAGTTGGACGCCGGCGAGAGCGAGGAGGACGCGCTGGACGCCGCGCCGGGCGAGGCCGCGCAGCACGGGTTCCGGTTCTTGCTATAAGTGGGCAAGCCGACGAGGCTGGAACAATGATGCGGCCGAGTTTGAGGATTTGCAGTGGTAATGTGGGTAACAGGCTCGAGTACTTTTATACTACTTTTTCTTTTCCTTCACATTCTTTCGCAGTTGACTTGATTGCGTCGTTTGATAGACGGGACCGTTGATGTCAGCTGACACGGTGGCGGTGACATGTTGCGCCCACCATGGACTCTGAAGAAATGGATTTGTCCAATTGAACAGTTGTTTTATTCAGCTGCTGGTGAATGCATTGTGGCGGACGCACGGGAAGCACCGCCAATGCTACTTAGGGCAAGCTAAAAGATGACTTGCATGCAGGATGCAGCATGGTGGTTAATAAGATGAGACTGGGGGCTATTCACTCGACTAAGGAGTTACGAAGACTTTGCGAATAGTAGCAAGGCCGCCACACTGGCCGGTGTATAACGAATAACTGCGGCCTTGAGAATCCTCTGATTCATTGCCCGTTCCTGCAAACTCTCCCTCTCTCTGGCCTGTACGAACGTGCTTGGCAGGTGGACACAATAATACGATGACCTGTAAATTTTCGTACTCACTGTAGCGCCAAGTTTCCGACGTGTTTCAGCCGCAGCGTGTATGGCCCACGGCGGGATTCACTCATTCGATAGCAAAGCGGGACAGAATCGGCATGCCGCTGTCAATGGTTTCGGCGCACGTTTCACCGCAAACGCAGCGTGCATGACATTGACATCTACAAGTCATGAGCTGGGCGGTCGACTGGCAGAGGGCTTTACTGGTATAAGACAGAGTTGCAGGAACAAGTTGCCCGCCCCTCAAGCCAGAAGCGGGTACTCTGCCGGGGCTCGCCCAGCTGGCCGGCCGCTCGAAGGCAGGCCGAGGAAGCTGAAAAGTATGGATGGGCATTCTGCTCCGAGGGTCTGTGCCGCTGAGGAAACAAGTCGGCCGATTGCCAAGATGCAAGTTGCAAGTTGGGAAGTTGGTGAAGCTAGTTGGCAGTAGCTTCGCGTATCCGCGTGGGAAGAGCGGCTGGCGCAACGCTAGACTCCGCCTTAATCTTAAATGATGCCAGGGGACGGACGGGTTGGATAGGCCAGAGGGGGAGGATTTGTTCAATGTCTGACGCGAAGAAGTTACTGGAACTAGTTGAAGGAAGAGGTGGGTGCTGTGGAAGCATGTTGAAACCAACTTGGGCAACTGGTCAGCAGACAACGTGGTTGGAGTTTCGGAGCTACAGATTACCCACGACAACGTTCTCAAAGGCCATGGTCAAGAGGTCGTGGGTATGAGTGAGACTGGTGAACAGGGCGGCGGAGTAATGATTGGCACGGACCGCAGCATATCGGGAGTGCATGGGCAACAAGCGAGCGGGTATGAAGAGATGATGGTGGATTCGGTTCTGGTAGTGTGATAGAGGAGCATTGACTCCATTGGAGTATTCGTAATAAATGCAATAATATCATGGCAATGCGTCCAAGAGCATGTTCAATGTGAGAGGTGAAAGAAAGGGTTAGCAGAGCCACACAATGCCATTGTGATAATCTGGCAGGAATGAAAACGCCACTGCAGGCTGTGCATACAGTCAAGACAACCAATGGTCGTACGAACATAGAAGCGCAGTGGAAATGCAATAGTTACGTGCATTATGTGCATTTTGATATGATAACACATGGCAGATCGAACATCCGCCCGAGCTGGGGTTGTGCAGGGAAGGTTCTTTTCTCCGGATCAGCCAGCTGTTGTATTAATAGTATCAAGTCATTCCGGAAGCAAGTTGGCAAGTTGAGACGGCGTGAAGAGAAAAGCCTGTTTTACGAAGTAAGGCGGCCTTTGGTCGTGTTTAGGGTGCGCCACAGGATATGATGAGCGCACCGCCACTTACGCGATGTTGCGGTATGAGGAGGAGTAAAGAGGGACAGAGACAGAGGCTGCTCATATTCTCGAAAAATTGGTAGATAGACGCGCGACAAATTCATGGCAAAAATTTTGTCATGTCTCAATAAAAAATAATGAGGATCGTGTCTGCTGGAAACGATGACGCTGGGAAGACGCGAGGTACCTGCAAGTCTGCTTCGAGGTACATGAGGGGCCAGCAGGCTGGGAGGCTTGTCTGTAGGGGAGGGGCTTTTAATATTAGGCTGAGGTACATACATACTGTACTGTACATACATACATTTACCAGTGCCTGTTTATACTTTTAGTAGCCTTCAAACCAGCTGCCACCCCTGTCCAGCCCTTTAATTGGAAGCAGGTACCTCTCCTAGCGGCCCCAAGTACCTGCCCATCTGTCTTGCCCTGCTCCCTGTTCTGCCCTTTGATTGATTGACCCTTTGACCAGCCAGCCTCTGAACTTTCTTTGTCCCTCCCCATTCTCCCATTCCATTTCCCTGCCACACCCCCCCAGATCGTCAGTAATCTCACTGCACCCCGTCCGACTCTTCTCTTTTGCTTCAGCATCCTCGCCTCTTTTGCTGAATTTTTTTTTCTGGCCTCGGAATCGCCATATCTCGACGTTGTGTGCAGCCAACTCCGGCATTGGCTTCTCGGTTTCCTCGTCTTGCGTTCGTTGGCAGAGCCCGTTGCTGTGCCAGTCCTCCAACCGCCGCCCGCAAACCCAGCCACACGCACGCCAGTCGGCAGCCGACAGCACAGGAGCCCAAAAGCCGAACAACAGAAAAAAACCTCGTGCTGCGATTAAATTGCGCGCCGAAAATCGATCCATCCGACATCGTCACCTTCGATTTCTTCCATAACGTTTCAGACGCCTGCGCAAGACCAACCTTGATTCCACGACAGCCACCCCCCGATTTCCTCGACGGCGCGCGTCTCGCCGTTGGCCCCGGCTCCGCAAACAGACCGCTTGCGTCCCCGACCGCGAGCCTTCCACACAAAGCCTACGCACCGTCCCTCATTGGATCGCGGGGAAAGTGTCGATTGTCGCTTCTCGAAAAGACTGCGGGCTGCTGATCTCTTCCTATCAAACTCCCCCGATTGTCTGCAGTCACAATGGGCTCAACCGACTTTGGCAACTTCAACGTATGCGAGCCCCTCCTCTCTCAAGTACTCTCTATCCGCCACATGTTTGCTAACCCGTGCCCAACAGAACTTCTGCAGAGATTCCACTCTGCCAGTCTGCAACGTACTTGCGCATCACTTCCCAGTCTCCGCTCGCAAAATGCTAACATGCCCCAGCTTCTCACAAACAACCGCAACCAAACAGGACCATGGGGCGGCTGCGAACTCACTGGCATTCCCCTCAGTGGAGGCCGACACCTCGGTAACCTTGGATCCATCATCCTTGCTGCTATTGCCATCCTCACATCCATCTTTTTGGTGCTCAAGTCAGACAAGAAGAAGGCTGCTGTTGGCCGAAGGTATGCAAAGACTTGTCCTTATCAAGCTGCTCCTAGACACTAACACACAGTGCAGGGAAATGCAATTGTTCCTTGTTGGCTACATCATAATTAGCATTTGCGAAATCTTCTCCGTCGGCGAGTTCCCGCTCTCTGGCAAAGTCCGCGTCGTAGGTTGCTTCAGCCGCCCCAACTTCCCACCATCTAACCTTCTTGCAGGCGTTTAGCGCAATTCACATCGGCATGATTATTGCAACGACCTGGATCCTAATGCTCAATGCCGTAATTGGCTACCAATTGATCGACGACGGCACCGCGCTTTCTATCGGACTAGTCCTTGCATCCGCCGCCGCCTTCTTCATCGGCACCGGGTACATTGCTCTCGACACGGGACTAAGCTTTACGGGATTCTGGGACTCGAGTTACGCCCTGCCCAACCGCAACATTGCTCTCTACGTGCTCTACCAGCTTGTTCCCCTCATTTTCCTCGTTGCTTTCTACGTTCTCGAGGCCATCCTCGTCCTCCGCATCCTGGGCGAGATTCGCCCAATGATCTACCTGACAGGTGCTGCTGTCTTGTTCGCCATTGGGCAGGTTTTCAATTACACCGTGTCATCGCACATTTGCAATGGAACCCACGGCAAAATCGACGGTGCCCTATTCCAAACCCTATTCACTCTGTTGTCCGTTGTTGGTGTCTGGGCCTTTTGGTCTAGCATCACCGAGGATGACTGGTCAAATCAGGAGGGCCCATACCCTTAATCTGCCCCGATGCTTGTGGAATGCTTAAGATCATTTCCTTTCTTTTTCACTTAACGGCGTTATTTCTCGGAGGAGCTGTTGCTCACTGCATTTCTGACTAATTTTACTTCACCCCCATGCCAGATTCCTCCACGAGCGCTTTCCCGGCAGCGAGGACACCACAACCAAACGGCGCAAAATCCCCGGCGCCAATCACCTCTAATTCCTAACTAGTGGTTCTCTCTGCGAGAGAGGATGCAAGGCGCAAACAACCCCACCCTTGGCCGCTCTCAATTGCCGGTCCACCTTGGGCGAACCAGTTTGGTTATGACTTGCGGAAGCTTGCTTTGCATATGACTGAAGTGGTCTGTTTTCTGATTACGACGGACACGTATTTTTATGGGAAGAAAAAGCAAGACGTGACGTGGAGGACGGAGATATTTGTTCACTTCTAAGACTAACGCGCTGATGAACCAGCTGCTGTATTGATTTATACGTTTTCGTAGTATACCCCAGATGCAATTAATGCTTATCTAGCTTAGCAATTAATACTATTGCTTAAATGTACTTCCTTTTTTTTTTTCGATGTCTATCAAAATGAATTGAGTGTAAAACTTTTTGAACAATAATGGAAGCTGTCATCGACGCTGTAATGCTGTGGCTCTGACTGGTGAGTGAAGGTTGTGGGGAATTTTTAGGTGATGCAAGGCAGGTTCAAGGCTAGAGCTTTCTAGGTACCTGTGCACATTCACATTCACGTTCAACACGTCACGACTTGCCTCTTGCCAAGCAGGACTCGTTCCTCGCACAGAAGCACACAAGGCCTGAGAGCCTCCTCAATCTCGTCAAGCTTCTTCGTTTACTTTTGTTTGCACTGCTAGGGGGTCAACAGGCAACATGGCCGATTCCGACGGCGAGTTTGTCGCCGACAACGTGTCGGACGACATGATGGACCACACGATCGAAGACGAAGACGATGATGACGACCACTACAATGGCTCTGGCGCCGGCGACCGACCCTCAAAATCTGGCGGTGCCTCGGGCAGCGGACGACCGAAGCGTCGAAAAAAGGACGGCGGCGGCGGCGGCGGCAAGAAGAAGAAGAAGACGTCCGCGCAGGCATGGGAGCAGTCGAGGCGGACGTGGGAAACGGACCTACCCGAGGAGGGCGAGGACGGGACGCTGGACCTGACGACGCTGGCGGCGGAGGAGCGGCGTCGGCGATTGCGCGCCAGGGACGCGACGCCCCTGCAGCGCGGCATCATCCGGCACCTGGTGCTGGTGCTGGACATGTCCTTCGCCATGGCGGACAAGGACATGCTGCCGACGCGGCACCGCCTGGCGCTGCGCTGCGCGGCCGCGTTTGTGCGCGAGTTTTTCGAGCAGAACCCGATCTCGCAGCTGGCCGTCGTGGGCATGCGCGACGGCGTCGCGGTGCGGATCAGCGACCTCGGCGGCGATCCGGCCGAGCACCTCGAGCGCCTCCGCGAGCTCGAGGGCCAGGATCCCCAGGGGAACCCGAGTCTGCAGAACGCGCTGGAAATGTGCCGCGGTGCGCTGTTGTACGTGTCATGGTTCCTCGGCTGGAAGATATTTGTACAAGTACACTTGGGCTAACAGTCTTTGTGACATCCTTTTTTTTGTAGCCACGCACCTTCACACGGCACAAGAGAGGTGCTCATCGTCTACGGAGCCCTACTGTCGAGCGACCCCGGCGACATCTACGATACGATGACGAGCCTCGTCCGCGACCGGATCCGCGTGTCGGTCATCGGGCTGTCGGCGCACCTGTCGGTGTGCGCGGAGCTATGCGCGCGGACCAACGCCACGGGCGACAGCGAAGCGTCGAGGTACTACAATGTCGCCACCGACGAGGTGCACTTCCGAGAGCTGCTGCTCGCCGCGACGACGCCGCCGCCGGTGGCGCCCGCCGCTGTCGCCACGGAGGAGGAGGGCGCGGGTGCGGCCAGCCTGCTGATGATGGGCTTCCCCTCGCGCGTGCTTGCGCCGGGCGGCGCGGCCAGCTACTGCGCGTGCCACAACCGGCCGTGCCGCGAGGGCTTCCTGTGCACCCGCTGCGGCAGCCGCGTGTGTCGGCTGCCGGCCGAGGGTCCCGCGTGCAGCCTCACGCTGATCCTGTCGACTCACCTCGCGCGCTCGTACCACCACCTCTTCCCGCTCCGCAACTGGGTCGAAGTATCGTGGGCGGACGCGGCGCGGTCGGTCGCGTGCTTCGCCTGCCAGTGCCCGTTTCCCGTGCCGCCACCGTCAGCCCTGACCGTGAACGGGGAGGAGGAGGAAGGTGGGGGGAGGAAGACGAAGGCGCCAAAGGGAGTGAGTGAGAGTGCGCGGTACGCGTGTGAGGTGTGCGGGAATCACTTTTGCATCGATTGCGACGTGTACGCGCACGAGGTCATTCACAACTGCCCGGGGTGTCAGAGCAACGTGCAGCAGCAGCAGGAGGAGCCGGCTCAGGCGAATGGGAATGGGAACGGCCTGAGTAATGGACACGCCAACGGCGCAATGGTGGTCGATGCGTAGTCGGGCTTGGACCGACTGAGGGTGTGATACTGGGAGCATATGAGCGTGGAGTTTCGAAACAGACACCGGTCAAAAGCAAGGCCATGCTACGGGGTTTGCCTCTGGGTTGCAAGTTTTATGGGTTTTGCACAAGTCTTCAGCATAAGTATAGGCGTATACACGGTGTAAAGTACAGGTCACTCGTCATCGGAGTTTGAGTGCGTTTCTCAACTTTTGAATTCATTTCATTTTTTCCTTCATTAGTGGAAGCAAAGAGTCACTCATGATCAGGAGTTTGATTGTATTGTAACTTTTTCAATTCATTTCTTTTTTTTTGATTCATTAGTGGAAGCAAAGAGGGTTGACAAAAGTCGTAGCTCATAAAATGGAGCTGCAAAGAGCGGAAACCAGCTATGTATATACGGTGCAAATGCTATAAGAGTGTACATGATGAAGAGGGTGCTAACAGCCAAGGTAAATGAGGTCCGCCGAGAACGTTGAGCCGTTGTCGGCAACGAGGCAACAGCAAATCAAAATGGAAACGACGAAACATGTCAATTGCGGGGGAGGGGAAGACCATGCAAGCAGCAGCACTTGCTTGCTTTACAGGTTGCCGCGCTCGGCCTGCTCGCGCTCAATAGCCTCAAAGAGGCTCTTGAAGTTGCCGGCGCCGAAGCCCTCAAAGTCATTGCGCTGGATGATCTCGATGAAGACGGTCGGGCGGTCCATCAGCGGCTTCGTGAACAGCTGCAGCAGGTACCCGCCCTCGTCGTAGTCGATCAGGATGTTGAGCCGCTGGATCGTGTCCAAGTCCTCGCGCAGTTCCCAGTTGCGCTTCTCCGTCTTGAGGCGGTGGCGCATCGTGTCGTAGTACGTCTGCGGCACGTTGATGAACTCGACACCGCGGGCTCGCAGCGCCGTCACGGAAGTGATGATGTCGCGGGTGAGGAGGGCAATGTGCTGGACGCCGGCGCCCGAGTTGAAGACGACGTACTCCTCAATCTGCGACTTCTTCTTGCCGGGGGCGGGCTCGTTGATGGGCATCTTGACGAGGTTGTTGGGGGAGGCCATGACGATGGAGGAGAGCGCGGAGAACTCGGTGCTGATCTGGTTGTCGTCGACGGACCAGAAGCGGTGGAAGGACAGCGCGGACTCGTAGAAGCGGCAGGCGGCGTTCATCTCGTCCCAGTCCTGGTTGCCGACGCAGTGGTCGATGCGCGCCAGCGGCACCACGGGCAGGTCCACCGCCGCCGTGCTCGGCTTGCCGGCGCGGAAGCCCGGCATGAAGATCCCCGCGTACCCCGGCGAGCGCGCAATCAGCGTGTGCGTGGTGTCGCCGTACGTGCGGATGACCGCCGTGGTGACGGAGCCGTGCTCGTCGCTGACGGTCCGCGGTGGCTGGACGGCGTCGGCGCCGCCCTTGACGGCGCTGTCGTAGACGGCGGCGACGTCGTCGACCTCGAAGGCGACGTCCTTGACGGCGTCGCCGTGGCGCTCCATGTGGGCGTAGACGTCGGCGAGCAGGCGGCGCTCGTCAGCGGCGATGGGCTCGTCGGCGGGCAGGTGGGCGGCGGAGCGCAGCGGCGAGGTGAAGACGAAGCGCACGGCGCCGTTGGAGACGACGTACGAGGCAAAGTAGCGCGAGCCCGTCTCCAGCCCGCGGTAGGCCTCGACGTGGAAGCCGAAGAGCGTGGTGTAGTACGAGGCCGCCTGCTTGGCGTTGCCCACCCACCAGGTGACGTGGTCGTAGCCGGTGAAGTTGGCGACGGGCGCGGCGGCGTCGGCGGGACGCTCGAGTGTGGCGATGGCGGAGGGAGCCATTGTGTGTGTGAGTGTGAGTGTGAGAGTGTGTGTGTGTGAGAGAGAGAGAGAGTGTGTGTGTGTGTGAGTGTGTGTGAGTGTGTGTGAGGTGGTGGTGGTGAGGGTTGATGAGGGTGAGGTGAAGATGTATTATTGGTATGGGTGTGATGCAATCGCCGTGGTCTGGGTCTGCTTTCGAGATGGATACAGACAGATTGAAGATGGACAGGGTTCACAATATTCAAAGACAAAAAGACAGAAAAGACAGAAACGATTTAGTGTCGACGGGGGGCTCAAACATGTTTATAAAGTTCCCCCAAGGGAGCGAGGTCATGGGTCGGTCGGCTTTACTGGGGGAGGCGGAGGGGGTGGGAAGGTGTGTCAGGCTATTTTGTGTAAATCTTATTCGTCTTCTGCTAACCCGGCTTACGTTGCTAGGCTTTCCTTTTCCGAAGTTTCTCTGAGCGGCAAAAGGATATGCGCATACCAGCCTTGTTGGTGATGGGTGGGTGGCCGTGTGACACTGAACATCCGCCGCCGCCGTGAAAGCCGCGCCGGAAATGCCCCGCGCCGTCCGGGCTAGTCCTGGCCACTGAGCCGCACCTCTCGATGGCGTTCCGCACTGGTGGATGCTCATGTGACGGCTCTCGACGGCCATTTCAATGCATTTGTTCAACATATTTTTTTTCCCCAGCAGATGACGCGGATTTTACGATATTTTGCATTTTTATTCCCCAGCGATGTCCAACGCCCCCTGTACTTGTGTTACTTGCCTGTGTTACTTGCCTGTATGCAGCACCTCTTCGTTCCCCTGCCTGAAAACGACCGTTGGTGGGGAAACAAAGCAGCGTCGGTCAGTGTCTCATCCGCATGCGCCACGTTGGTTGTTGGTTTAATGAAGGTCATTTTAAACACGGCAATTCCTAATTCGTAGATGTGAGTGAGTACAAAGTAATCTTTGTACTCGTATATTTTGAAGAAACCAGAGCCAGCATCGCCAATCCGCCACCACATTCGCAAAGCCGCCGATTGGCGGGCCCCATCGCCATCGAGAACCTGGGGCCAAATCGCGGAACCTGCGCGCACTCAGCCATAACCCGGCGCTAATTCTACAGAGTTTTGGCCATGAAAATGAAGAGGTCGCCTCCGTCCAAAGCCGCGCCTTGCCGTCCCCAATTTTGTTAACTCGATTTGACAGCCGCTGCCTTCGATTCTCCACAATTGCTGCTCTGCACACTTGCTCTTCAATTGTTGTGCGACCTGCAGGAGCAATGGCGAAACTGTTTCAGGGTTTTCAGTATATGAATAAATATTTATATATATATCGTTAAAAATAGTCTCAGCTTGCTCGCCCTGTGCGTACCGGGTGTAGACCGGTTAGAGCTGACGGCGGTTTCCTGCGCGCGGCACCAGCCGAGCTACGCAGCTGGCAGAAACAAAGACGGAATAACAGCCTCTGAATACCGAATTCCCTCGGTCATTGAGTTTTTTTTTTTTTTTTTTT